CAAGCAATTTTGCTTGGTTGTTTTTTCGATTGAGCAATTTTGCTCAAGCAATTTTGCTTGGTTGTTTTTTCGATTGAGCAATTTTGCTCAAGCAATTTTGCTTGGTTGTTTTTTCGATTGAACAATTTTGCTTAGATAAATAGATTGAGCAATTTTGCTCAGGTAATGTTCAAGCAATTTTGCTTGGTTGTTTTTTCGATTGAGCAATTTTACTCAAAAAGTATAAAAACAATGATTAATTCTTAATTATAAAAAAATAAAAAAATGTCAGAAACGAATTTGATTAAATTTAAACTTACCAATTATTACACTTTGGATCCATCTTCTCCAAGTTTCGAAGCAGAGAAGAAAATGTTTATTGATGCTAGATTTACTTTTGAATTTTCTAAAGAATTAAACAAATATAAATTTAAAGCACCTGATGATTTTTATAAAGATTTCACAAAAGAAATAACTGAATAATATATTAAAATTTATTTTTCATCAACAGTATAGTTGTTACCATATTTATTTTTTACAAAATATAATTTTTCAATATTGTTATAAAATATACTAAAGTTATCTTCATTTTTAATTTTTAAATAACAACATGTATTATTTTTATGAACAATTTTTTGACAAAATATATTATCACTAAAATTTTTTTCGATTGAGGTTGTTTTTTCGATTGAGCAATTTTGCTCATGTAATATTCAAGCAATTTGCTTGGTTGTTTTTTTGATTAAACAATTTTGCTAAGATAATATAGAATCAATAAAATTTATTTTGTTTTTTCTTAAAAATATATTTATTTAGTTAATAAAAAATAAAAAATATAAATATAAACTTAATTTCTATAATCTTTATATAATTAATAAAAACAATTCATATTTTTTTATTCATTCATGATTAAAAAAATTTGCAAAATAACTTAAAATAATTTGTATTATAGGGTTGGAAAGTTTAGAAATATGTTCTTTTAGATATTTTTCATCTTGAAACATTATAACAATCATAAGAACAAAACCGAAAATTATATATTTTTGATTAAATTTATTTAAAAAAACATGAATAAAAAAAAATAAAATGAAAATAAGATAAATATATATTCTATTATGTGTTTTAAAGTATACACAACATATAAAAGGAATTATAAAAGAAGAAAGAACAAAAAATTCTGATATACTATTATAAAATCTTTTATACACAACATATAAAAGGAATTATAAAAGAAGAAAGAACAAAAAATTCTGATATACTATTATAAAATCTTTTACTTTCCATTTCACGTTGTTGTAAATTTTCTTCATGTTGTTTGACTTGACGAAGGCTTTCTTTTTCACGTTGTTCTAATTGACGATTATTTTCTTCAACTTTACGAAGACTTTCTTTTTCACGTTGTTCTCTATCTGCATTATCTCTATTAGTTTCATATTGAATACGTTCTTTTTGTAAATCATTTAATATTTTTTTTCTTATAATAGTTTCAGAACCTGATAAAGTATCATCAGATTCATATGATTTTTCATTATCATCGTCTATTGGACATTATTACATATATTTTTTTAGAAAAAAAAACACTCGTATTTTATAAAAAAAATATTATTATTAAGGTTTTAGTTTATCGTTACTCACATTTTCTTTTTGGAATTTTTTTATTTTCTGTAGTCATTTTAATTCGTTATTTATTTGAATTGTAAATTGTTTATATTAATCTAGAATTCGAAGTATTCGAAAAAAATATTATATTTTCTAATATGGGATGTTTTTATAGATTTGGTTATAATCGGAATTTGATATCCGATTAATAATTAAATTTAATTGATTCATATCGATATATTTTTCAAACTCTAAATCATAATTTTGGAAATTAAATATTTTTATTTTATATTTAATCTATCCTATATAAAAAATAATCGTTAAAATAAAAGTTTAACTTATTGAATAATTATAATAAATTTACAATATCGATATTTAAATTCTTAACGGATTATAATCAGAAAAAAATTGATATTATTAAGTTTTGATGGTAAATCTAATTCGTTGAATATTTTTTATTGATAATTTGATTTTTAGAGTCTATAATTGAATTCGCAAGAAACCCAGATGAAAATAATAAATAATTAAATAAAAAAAATTTTCTTAATTAATTTTATTATATATTTTATGATAAATTTTTAAATATTTAATAAATAAATAAATTATGAAATTAGAAATAGTACTTTCGACTTTATCGTTATCTATATTTAAAATATTGATTAACTAAATTTAGAATAGAATATTCTAAATAAATTATATTTAAATATCGGACAATCTATTTTTTTATATAATCCCGTGGATAAAATATTTCATATTTATTTTAATCTTTTTATTATTTTATTAATAACAAATTTTATTTTTATAAAAAAAATTTGCAAATGGAGAACAAAATTAAATACTTTGTTAAATTATAATTTCCGTTAAATTCAAAATTTATTATCTCTACACTACTTTAGAAACTTTATAAAATTTATTTATATATCACACAAAAAATAATATTATAATATTGTAAATATATTCGAAATTTTTTAAAGTTTATTTATTTAAAAAATTGATATCGATGATCAAAGTACAAAAAAAAATTTTGAACATTAAACTTTTATTTTATTTATTTATTTGATATCGCTCATTTTTTTTTTTACATATCAATTTTTTTTTTTAATTTAACTTATTCTAAATATAAGTTCAGTCTTTCGTCATTTATGATGCTCCTCGCTTTTGGGTTTCTTATTCCTCTCGTCGTTCTTTGGCTGGTTTTTGATCTTCGGTAAATCTTTTAACATTGTTCTTTTTTGTTCTTCAGTTTTGTTTACACTTTCAATAGGTCTCGCATCTTTCCGGTATGGATATTTTTCTTTTCTTGATCTTTCGAATCTTTTTGGACGTTTAAATTCGTGAATCATGGTAAGTCTTTTAGTAAATATTACATTGTTCTTTCTCGTTCTTGGTTTTTATGTTTTTCACTTTATATAGTAATTTTTTTTTCTGTTATGAGTTTGTAGTGTCGCTGTCGTGGAAATCGCTACTGTCGTTGATAATCTTGTTGAAGTGGGGTTGCTTTGTTCTTGAAATTTGGATATGAATCTTCGGTAAGTCTTTTACTTAATTTCAATAAGTCTTGTAAGTTTTTTCTTTATTTATATTTCTCTTTCTCTTTTTAGATTTCTTCATCGTTTTTAGTGTTTTTATAGGTAAGTCTTTTACGATTAATATTTTTTTAAGTCTTTTATTGTTTAAAATACTCCTCTTATCGCTTCAAAGTTTTCGGGTATCTTTTTTTTTTTTGTTGTTTTATTATTTATTTTTTTTATTGTTTTTATGTTTTCACTACGAATCTTTTGTAATTTCGGTAAGTTTTTTTGTTGTTTTTTTATTCCTTGTGTTATTATTAATTATTTATTGTTCTTAGGTTTCTTAGTATTTTTCGCTGGTTTGCAGATCTTTCGTAAGTTTAGCTTCTCTGATTTTTGATCTTTGGTAAGTCTTTTGACATTATTTTCAGGTTCCTTTCGTCGTTTGGTGTTTGTGGATTCAGTAAGTCTTTTCCTTAGCATTTTCCATTGGTTTCAGATCTTCAGTGTTTTTTTGTTGTTTTCGTTTGTATTTCATGTATGTTATTCTATCGTTAGTACTTTTGTTGAAATAGGGTTGGTAATTGTGATTAGTCTTTTCGTTCCTAGGTCTCTTTTCAACGTGGAGATTTTTTTCTAGTTGTTGTTGAAAATTTCTTTTTGTTTTCGTTTTCTTGTAAACATATTTAATTAATACTTTTTCTTATACATGTAGGTTATTTGAGATTTCTTTCGATAAATCTTTGCAAGTCTTCGTTATTGTTTTTATTGATGATTTTTTTTTGTCTTTTTTTATTTTCTTTTCTTAATGTTTCTTCAATTATTTTCTATTCTAATTTTCTTTCTTTTATTTTTAGACGTGTAATTACGAATTTGATACATCATAGTTGTATCATCGATACATCATCGTTACATCGTTGTTACGATGTTTTAATTTATTCTGGGTTTGTGTCTGGGATTGATGTGTTATTATACCCCAACTAAGGAATACGCCTCTTCGTGGCAGTTGGGACTATTAGGAGATTCGTTCTCCGAAGCCAAGTATTCCAGGGCATATTGCTATGAGATGATTCTGAATCTCATGCGATATTGACCATACATAGCTGTAGATGGTCTGGTCATTCCGATTTGATTGTGGGCGATCCTTGTAAAAGGTAACAGGAAGAGCACTACCTCGAGCCTGACCTGGGGTATAACCTACAACTTACTCTGTTGAGGCTATTGTTCAATTTGTACAAGTGAGGATCTCTTGGTACGAGTTGGTGCCTACAAATATGTTCCTCACCTTTAGAGTCTCGAGATATGTTGGCTTCTACGTAGTGAGACTTGGTAATTTTGTAATTTATTTACAAAAGCTAACAACATATCATTTTACGCAAAAATTATAATAAAACTTATAATTAAAAAAAAATTAATAATTTTATGCTAGTTAGTATATCTATGAAAATAATTTACCTACCAAAAGATATAATTCGAACGTATCAACAATTTAATTATTAATCATATTATCTATATTCGAAGGTAATTAATTGTAAATAAGTATTTAGAACTAAGTATCTGAAGCAACATAAGATATAACATCATAAATATCGTCTTTCTTAGTGTTTTTTATCGTCTTTCTTTCTAGACAATTCCAATCTGTGATATATACGACTGTGTTTCATTATTATCTAGAGGTAAAATTTCTCATATAACTCGGAATCTGATTTTTATAGTTTAAAATTTATTTCAAAAAAATAATAATTTAAATGTTGGTGAGTGTAAAACATTTACAAAAAAAAATAATATGTACATAATAATTTAAAATAAATTGATTGTTATCGATAAATTGTTCAAAAATTAATTTATCTGATTAGACTTTTATTTATGGTATAATTAAAAAGTTTATCAGAAAATATTTTAATTGATAAATAGTTTATAATTAAGGGTTCGTTGAAACATTTTTCATAATTTGATTAATCTCAGAGTCAGTTGGCCTACAAATATTATTTTTTAAATTATTTATTATAAAATTTTTTAACATATTATTTATTATTTTTATTCTAATCTATTATTTGAATGTTCTAGAGATTAAATTTTATTTCTTTAAAATAATTCGTTCATAATATTGAATTAATAAAAAGTTTAAATTTAAAATAGTTAATTTTCGAATTAATCTCAGATTAACCAATGATTAAAATTTTTTAAACTTCTGTGATATAAATACTATATTAATCATATTCTTTATAAAATTGACATATAAATTTAAATATAGAACATAAAAAAAAATATAGCCATTAAAAAATTTCAAAGTTAAATGTGATATTTTATGTTTATTTTTTTTTTTAACTCATACTTTATTATAATTTTATAACAAATTATCATAATAATCTTTAATCTTTTCTAATTTATCAGCTAATTTGAAATAAGATCTTGCTTTAATAGGGTCTTTTTCAATATTATCTCTACCATTGTGATAATAAATACCAGCAAGATATGTACCACTATAATTACCTACTTTATTTTTTTTATTATTAACTTTATTTGCTGAAGCTTCGTACCAATATAATGCCATTTTATCATTTTTTTTACCATCTACTTCTCCTTTTTTATAATAATGTCCAAGTTGACACATTCTAAAAGTATGGGCAGCATTTGCAGATTTCTTAAAATATTCAACAGCTTCATTATAGTTACCATTTTTATGTGCTTGACAGTCAAGTTTAAAATTTCCACCACTATTACCCTTTTCAGCAGCTTTTTGATACTATTCGTAAGCGTTATCATCTTCTCTATTATTTTCATATAAATGACCAAGATAATACATACCTAATACAACATTATCAAGAGCAGCTTTTAAATAATATTCAAATGCTTTATTTTTATCTGGTTCAGTTCCAATTCCATATTCGTAACAATGACCAAGTCGATATTTTACTTCAGGAAAATTTAATTTAGCTGATTTTTTATAATATTTAAATGTTTTGTATGTATCTTTGTCTTTTTCATAGTCACATCCTTTTATATATAATTGTTCAGCATTAGTTTCATTTAATAGGTAAATATAAAATTCAGTCATTTATTTTTTTTTTTAAGAAATAGAAAAATAAATTATTAAGTTAATTTACATTCAAAAAAATTATATTTTTTATCTAGGGGATAAAACCATATTTTTCAACTTTGTAAACCAATAATTTGAAAACTAAATTCTGTGTAAGGCCAATATCTTTCACAAAAATTATAATTTCCACAAATAGTAAATTGTTTACATAATTCACATATATCATAAAAATCATTTATCCTTTTACGTAGATAAATTGACATGCGTTTTTTTTTTATAGGATGATAGCAAAATACTCTATATGATTTATTATAATAAATTAGTAAATCATATATTTTTTTATCTACTTTTATACTGAATAATTGTGTATTATTCATTAGATATATTTTTTTTTTACTACTGAAAAAAAAATGAATTTTTTGATTTATAAAATCAAACTCTTTTTTTGTTTCAGGTTTTGATTTGATTTTATATTCAAAAAATTCAGGTTTTATTTCTAAACGATATAATATGTTTTTTATA